GCAGAGAGACACAGAGAGACACCACCACCCACCACCCACCTCAGTCCCTCCACCTCAATCCCCCCAACTCACCTCATCCCTCGCCTCCTTCAAGCCACGACTCAAGCACCTCCTCTTCTGGTCACCCTCCTACCCCGACCCCCACCATCCCCCGCCCTCCACCCCCCCTCCTGATCCCAACCCTCAGCTCGGGTCCAAACCCCTGACTGTCCGGGGCCTGGGGATGTCCTCCCTCCTGGTGTGAAAAGCTCTGTGTAAATGTCCCGTGTTGTTGTTTGTTCTGGTTCCCAGCTCCGGGCACCGAGTCTCCGAGTTGGGCTTCCTGTATGACCACCAGTATGCAGTTGGCCAAAGAGTGCCTAAAGGACCCCCCCTCGGAACCCTCCGAGCCCACCCAACCTCTGGAGGGGCTCGAGATATTTGCACAGACCATCGAGACAGGTGAGCGTTTTATCAGCCCAGTCACTCGCGCTCTCTCCCTCTCTCTCTCGCTCCTCCGAGGCAGGAGGTTTGTGGGTCCAAATTATTATTGTGACTGTTTCCTGACGCTGTGTCTCTCTCTGTGTGTTAACGGCGTCAGTGCTGAGGAGGATAAAGGTGACGTTCATCGACACGATCGTGCGGGTGGAACACACACCAGAGAGCTCAGACACTGGGATAGCACTGGAGGTGCACATCAAGAGGTCAGTCACTACACTGTCAGCCTCTGTGTCTGGCCCCCTCTCTCCCCTCCCCCTTCATTCCCCACTCTTGTCTCCCACCCACTCCCACCCACCTCTGTGTGTGTGTGTGTGTGTGTGTGTGTGTCCAAGGTGTGAGCCTGTGCATTTTTTTATGTGTGTCCGTGTGTGTACAGGTGTGACACTGTGATGTGTGTGTATATGTACAGGTTGACATGTGATGCACATGTGCGTGTGCGTGTGTGTGCCTGTGTGTGTGTGTGTGTTAGACACTGTGATCTCTCTCTCTCTCTCTCCAGGTTAGATTACTGTGATGAAGCAGTGAAGGACAGTGGAGGTCGGGAGCCCATTCCTGTTGACGTTCACCAGCCGCCCGCGTTTGTACACAAACTGTTCCAGTTCTCTGGGGTCACCCTACAGTGTGAGGAGCTGTGTGACCAGGGGGGCTACAGCCAGCCCTCGCCCCCCAGGGCAGAGGTAAGGCCACACCCCGACCCTCGCCCCCACCCCCCACTCTCACCGTTGCTGGACTCGCTTTCAGCCACTGGGCCCTGAAATTCTGTCCGTCTCTCTCTCTCTCTCTCTCTCTCTCTCTCTGTCTCTGTCTCTCCCTCCCTCCGCCTCGCCCCCTCCTTCCCCATCTTCAGCTCGCGCCTGAAGACCTTCCTCTTTGACCAGTGCCTACGGTCACCTCCCCCCCCCCCCCCACTCCTCCCCTCCTCTGGCTCGGCATCAGGCTTCGCCCCCGTCAAGCGCTCTGGGACGCTATCCTGCGTGAGGGAACACGCAGTCACCACACCCCACAGTGTCTCCTGTGAAGGATTATTATTATTATTTGGAGCACCTCCCCTTTAATGGGAACCTCCCCTTTATTGTTCACTGTGGTGATGTCAGCAGGCAGAGGCGGAGCCCAAGGAGCAGGGGGCGGGGCCCAGGACGGGAGGGGCGGGGCCAGGCTCGGGGCTGGAGCAGATTGGCTCGTGTACTGGCAACACCGAGATGACCGTCAAACTCAAACAGAACGACGGCCTTCCCGGCCCGAAGGTCAGCGGGGGGCAGGGGAGGGGCTGGGGACAAGGGGAGGGGTTGGGGTACAAGGGGAGGGGGACAAGGGGAGGGGCTGGGGGACAAGGGGAGGGGCTGGGGGACAAGGGGAGGGGCTGGGACAAGGGGGAGGGCTGGGGGACAAGGGGAGGGGCTGGGGACAAGGGGGAGGGGCTAGGGGACAAGGGGCGGGGCTGGGGACAAGGGGAAGGCCTGGGGGACAAGGGGTGGGGCTGGGGGACAAGGGGAGGGCTGGGGGACAAGGGGGAGGGGCTGGGGACAAGGGGGAGGGGCTGGAGGACAAGGGGAGGGGCTGAGGGTCTCAGTGACTGACACTTGTCTCTCACTCTCACACTCTCTCAGTGACTGATGCCTCTCTCACGCTCTCTCTCTCTCTCTCTCTCTCACTCCCTCTCTCCCCTCTCTCTCACTCCCTCTCTCTCACTCCCTCTCACTCCCTCTCTCTCACTCCCTCTCACTCCCCCCCTCTCTCACTCCCTCTCTCTCACTCCCTCTCACTCCCTCTCTCACTCCCTCTCTCTCACTCCCTCTCTCTCACTCCCTCTCTCTCACTCCTCTCTCCCCCTCCCTCTCACTCCCTCCCTCTCACTCCCTCTCTCCCCCTCTCTCTCACTCCCGCTCACTCCCTCTCTCTCGCTGTCTCTCTCTCTCTCTCTCTCCCCCCCCTCCCTCTCACTCCCCCTCTCTCTCACTCCCCTCCCTCTCTCTCACTCCCTCTCTCCCCCTCTCCCTCACTCCCTCTCTCCCCCTCTCTC